AGTACAGTTGCCGCAGGCCTGCCACATACGGAAACTTAAAAAAAATCGGAAAGGTCAATACAAATGTTTGTGTCGGCCCCTTTTTGGCGGGTCGGTCGGGTGAGGGCAAACAAACAACATTTTTATTATGGCCTCAGTTTGGTAAATTTTTTATTTCCTGTGCGGCGATTATGCAGTCGCCCCGCCGGACCAGCTGACACGAGCAAGCAGTCGCCCGGTCGATTTTCTAATCGCCACTGGCGACTGGGCGACCGCTTGTTTCTCACGCTGTACTACACTAACGAGTCTAGGGAATCCCCTACGCCTACTAGCTAACCCTAACCAGTAACCCTAACCCTAACACAGCGACGACCGGAAGGAACACACTGGCCACAAAACGAGGCTTGGCGGGTCTATGCTCCCTGGGTACTGCCGGAACGTAACTTGGGTATATTGTCTGGTATGCCGGAACGTACCCTAATATTTCGAACTGTACCTCGCCTACTACACTAACGAGTCTAGGGAATCCCCTACGCATACTAGCTAACCCTAACCCTAACACAGCGGTGACCGGAAGGAACACACTGGCCACAATGCGAGGCTCGTCGTCGTCGTAGGGTCTATGTCTTCCTGGGTACTGCCGGAACGTAACCTGGGTACTGTCTGATATACCGGAACGTACCCTAATATGCCGAACTGTACCTCGCCTACTCCACTAACGAGTCTAGGGAATCCCCTACGCCTACTCCATAACCCTAACTATCCACTAGAATAATGTATATTGACGTTAGTCACACAGCCTGGTCGGGTTAGCCCTGAGGTGGCTCTAGTACTATATAGCCTGCGTACAATTACCTGCGTGGGCTATAGTACTATTGAGCTAGCCATGAGGTGGAGTGAAGGGATTGCGCTAAATGCTAGAACGAGTCAAGGATAGAGATGATGTCCAAGACGGTGATAGGATAAGATGATGTTTATTCCTGGACATGCTCTCTGTCCTTAAGCCGAACTGTATACCATATACTATATAGTACTATATTATATACTACAGACTATACAATAGATACTATAACTGTATACTATCACTAGTGCTCATAGGGTCTATGTCCCCCAGGGTACTGCCAGAACGTACCCTGGGTACGGTCCGGTATATCGGCCAGAACGTATACCCTGGTCACTATTTAATATGGTTAGGGTTAGGATTTGGGTTAGGGTTAGAGATAGGGTTCGGGTTAGGGAGTAGGCGAGATACGGTCCGGCTTATTAGATAGTACCAGGGTACGAGGTATTACAATATATCTATGCAGAAAAGTTAGCATAGAAAAATGATCTACACATCTTTAATTACATAAAATTAATTTATACACTGAATAACTAAACCCCTTACCTGCTTTGCTCATGTATCTCGTTACATTGCGCAACTTAGAAAGGAAAGAAAATGCTTGCTCGCATTCTTCTCCTGTTCCAGCGCCAGCACCCTCCTGCCATTGGCCTCCCCATGTGACCTGCATTTGTCAATAGCATCATAATACATGTGCAAAGTTTTTGGGCTGTCTTTTACAACTGTTAATAAGCTATAGCATAGTTCAAAATTGAAACCGGTCCACATACAGGACAGTTCAGCACTTATCACGTCATGTAAATAAACACACCTGGCAAGACCAGGTATGAGCTTTTGCATGCATCACTGACAGGAAGGGTTTCATCTCTGTGAGAAGGGGGAAGAATTCAGGAAACCTGGATGCACATTTCGCAAGCCAGGGCCAATACCTAAAATTAAAAATGGTATACATGTAATTGACACAACTTCAAACTTGAATCATCAAAAATGCTCGACTTATGTCTTGTCCCAGGACTTGCAGCATATATTGAGTTATGTAAGTCCCTGGTACAAAATTGTGAACTATTATCTTACTTACTGCTCTGTTATTGGCCAATATCGATGCTGTGGTGTTTTATAACAGTGCACTGACAGACTATGTTACCACATACTACGTTGTCCTGCCAGGCGTTTTTGTGCCTGAATTCATAAACTCACTATTTCATTGTAGGTGTATATACGGAAATGTGTGAAACACACGTCTGGTATATCACTATCAAAATTACTACATATAGCATGCATAGCTGCATGAAATAATATTATCCAAGACTGCATCTTATCATACAGTACCGGCAGATCACGTCTTGGCATACGAAGTTGACATCCTGTGGCTTGCAGAAATTCTCCTGGAGGTAGAGAGGATATGCATATATCTCGCCTCTATGCATGTTGACGGCTTTCTGCATTATAACATGCCTGCACGTGGCAACTACAAGGCCAGTTTCATCCAGCATTGTCCTTTTGGGCGCTGTCGTTTTAGCTGCTTTAAAATGGCCTTTGCCGCAGTTGCTTTGCTGTGTGGCCTGCAAAGTAGGTTAAAATAGCATTACCATTATTTTTTCCATTGAAAGACTTTAAAGAGCGTACACCTACTTTTGCATTGGTATTTGGTAAAATAAAATAATCAGTGTGGGGCATAATCAACATTTTTCCCTACAGGTTAGTTTACATATTTGCAGTGGTCAATGTTGGCCACTGTTAGCAATTATAACAGCAAAAAATAGTGAGTGAATAGTTATAATAACAGATATTTTTCGTTAACGTTTTACGATAGGCACGCAGTTACCTACATTTGTTTTCCTGGCAGCAGATCTGCTTGACAGGAGAATATTAAAGAATTTTAATAATAACAACTATAATTACAACCTTAGTGGGTTTGTAAGCAAGACAAATTTAGCATGAATTTTCTTAATTACTACATTAGTATAAATTAATTTTCTACATACCTTGTCTCCACTTCTGACTTTCTCAACAAAGCTGTCGACAAGTGTGTCCCTGTCAATGAAGGTGTCATGGAAATAACTCTCCTCTGACCCCCTGCAACAGGATCATTTGCCATTAGTGAAACTAAGTGAGCATAGTAATGAAAAGCTTTTCAAAATACACTGATTACATCACTACTCGCTAGTGAACATATATAGACTGCATTCTAACCAATTATTTATTTACCAATCCCTGAATCCAACCACCTGATACAAGAAGAGAGAAAACAATTACAGAAATAGCTAGGTTCTTAATTAGGATCTCAAACTTATTAATGGCCAATGACTGCTATAGCCAACCCCATATTTAGAATGCAAGTTTATATTGGTTCTCCAATGATGGTGTGTATAAATATAGGCATGCAATATATATTTATGTTAGACTACCTTGGCACACTCTTGAATCTATACAGCTTATGGTTGCCATCTATATGTGCAGCATGTTGATGGGGTGTGCATGCAGGGCACTCCAATGATGTTCCTTGCGTAACAGACAGCAGCTTATCTCGGCAGAAAGACCACTCTCTGTATGCCATGTTGAATCCATCACCCGAGATGTAGAGATTCTGGAATTGTTTTTATGATACTATGAGAAATGGCTTTTATTAACAGTTCAGGTTGCAATGTTCAGATTCAGCATGATGCTAGATAATCCATAAAAACAGGATCACAGCATCAAAGCTTAGATGTGCACAATTTTAGCAGTAACAGTATCCTTAACAGTTGTAGTACTCGTGGCCACAGACCTAGCAAGAAGAGTAGCACTCATACACACTGGAGAATGATGTTCTTCAGCACTATAGCTCATAGGGTCTATGTCTCCCTGGGTACTGCCAGAACGTACCCTGGGTACGGTCCGGTATACCGGAACGTACTCTGGTAACTATTTGATATGGTTAGGGTTAGGGTGTAGGCGACTCCCTAGACTCGTTAGTGGAGTAGGCGAGGTACAGTCCGGCATATTAGAAGTTACCAGGGTACGTTCCGGAATACCGGACCGTACCCATGTTACGTTCCGGTAGTACCCTGGGAGACATAGACCCGACGAGCAGCACTATATATAGTTTAAAGCTAAATACCCTTGAGTTTTCTTCACTTAGTGCCCTTAAAATGGTCAGATAGCTCGAGGTAGCCAGCATTGGTGCAGTGCGGTTTAACCTGTCCCAGGATTCCAGAGCTGTCATGTCATACAGGACAGTCAGGTTTCTAGGGTCTCCAGGCCAATATCCACTGTGTATGCAGTCGTCTGCTTCTACGAGCTTATCTAGACCACATGCCGTGCAGGTGTACTCTGGCAAGTTTAGATCAAATCTGCCTAGAATTGCCATAAAGAGATGTATGTGATAAAAACGGCGACTATTTACGCTCATAGGGTCTTTGTCTTCCTGGGTACTGCCGGAATGTACCATGGGTTGGGCACGTTCCGGTATACCGGAATGTACCCTGGTAACTATCTGGTATGGTTAGGGTTAGGGCTAGGGTTAGGGAGTAGGCGTACGCACGTAGGCAACTCCCTAGACTCGTTAGTGAAGTAGGCGAGGTACGGTTCGGCATATTAGAAGTTACCAGAGTACGTTTCGGCAGTAATCAGGGAGACATAGACCCGACGAGCACTATTTACATGAAGATTTAATTTCACCTCTATCATGAAATCTGTCTTCACCAATAAAGCAGCAATTAATATTATATAGGGAAATGCATTTAATTTCCATCCACCAAAATGACGATTCGTAAATCTTTCATAATAACAGGTATTTAATAATTACATATAACACTAATTATGGAATCTATACAATACCTCTTTCAGTGTTGACAGCAACCGCTTTACCAGGCCTAATCTGCCAGTTGCGATCACCACACTGGCACTCCTTTGGCTGAGATATTGGAAGTACTTTTACTGCAAGAAAAATATAAATCTTACATTATTAATAAACCTTAATATTTATATATATATATATTATAAATCCCTTATAAGGGAATATTAAGCATTAAACGTTCTCAACATAATTATTGCTCTTGATAATAATGAAATTGTATTGTGAAAACTTACGAGTTGAAATCACTGAGAAAGTTGTTTCTTTGCCAGGTTCCACTTGCACCAGATCACCTGGCAGCAAGCACTGCTTCTGTCCTCCTTCCTTCCTCCCAGTCACGAGTCTCCTATCATGGCATGGCCGCATAGCATGTTGAACGGAGTCGCATGCCGGACACATCAATGCACATGAAGTGCATTGATCGCAGAGTATCACACCTTCCATTTCCTGACAGAATCCGCACAACTGAAACAATATATATCAAAGATGTTTTATCAATCTGAGAATTAAAATAGAAACACTTATTTGGAGACTTATATGGCTATAGAACTACACATTCGAACAGTGTGTAGTTCTCCATACTTTTTATATTTGGCAATAAAATGCAATTTATTATTGGCAATTATATATCGTCATAAACTAATGTGTTTGTGTTGCCCGTAGCTGCAGATAAAATAGCTTGTATTCTGTATGAGATAATACTAACTAGTAAAGTTGACTGAAATACGAACATTGTATTGGCCTGAAAATATTGCCTTCTTTTCGAGGCTGGCCATGAACATCTTTGCCCGGTAATTTTTGTAGTTGGTAGCAGCGATCTCTTTGTGCCTTTGCCATTTTGTTTTCTTCTGGGCTCTGTCTTCCATACCTGTGATTGTTTAGATCAAGATAAAATATATATAAATACATAGCAATGATAGCAATTTATATCATTATAATACCAGATTATTCCACATCGTTAGTATTTCCATAAATTTATATTATATCGAATGGTTGTTTCCATCCCAGTAATGGCATATGTTTTGAATGCATTTATGTATTTGCATTGATGCACTTACTAACCATTGTCAGTGCCAACTAGCTCCTGAGGCATTTCCTGACCTTTACTTCCTGATTGGCCTGAAAATTGAAAAGGACAAGTTCTTTTTAGTGACAATAAATATTCAATGGTGGTTTGCGTCCCCTATTTACATGTTTTGAATATGTTTAGGTATTTGCATTGTACCTAAAAACATACTAGTTAATTATAAATGCACTCACCATTGTCAACATCACCAACATGTTGCAGCATCTCCTGCTGGTACTCTCCAGTCACTCATGCTGATTGGCATGAAAATTGAAAAGCAATACATATGGTAAGGTAACTTAGGTTTGTCGGGTCTATGTCTCTCTGGTTACTGCCGAAACGTACTCTGGGTACGGTCCGGTATACCGGAACGTACCCTGTTAACTATCTGATTACCAGACCGTACCTCGCCTACTCCACTAAATTACTAACGAGTCTAGGGAGTCGCCTACGCCTACTCCCTAACTCTAACCCAAACCCTAACCATATCAGATAGTTACCAGGGTGCGTTCCGGTATACCGGACCGTATCCAGGGTATGTTTCGGCACTACCCAGGGAGACAGATCCTATGAGCGTAACTTAGGATATAATTCTTATATGGATGCCCCACAAAAAATATTAAAATAGTGATTTACATAATATATAGTAGACCTATTATTTGCCGAAAGATCAGCAAACGGTGTTGATCTATTGATTAGATCACACTTTGTGTCTCTCTGTCTTCAGCTTAGTACTTTAGACTTTAGAAGATTATTTTTCCGAGGTTAAGAGAATTCTTAGTAAACAATCCACCTCCATTTTCGTGCGCCCAGCGCCGCGGCGTTTATGCATGATCGTTCATTAGCTAATCAGGAGCTTGTATGCTAGGCTTAAACGCATAATCATCATGTAATATTTAGTGATATTGGATTCATACAAAAAATACCCATATACCCCATTGTAAAAAGGGATCCAATATTTTCTGTTATCCACGCTCCATCAATGAATCTAGATAATAATAACAAATATTCAATGGTTGTTTGCTTCCCCCTATTTACATATGTTTTCAATGTACTTAGGTATTTGCATTGGACATACTAGTTCATTATAATGCACTAACCATTGTCAACATCACCAAGATGTTGCAGTATCTCCTGCTCGTACTCTCCACTCACTCCTGCTGATTGGCATGGAAATTAAAAAGCAATGGTAAGTTAGGGTATCATGCAAATACCAGCATTCATTTCAATGACAATAACATAAACATTCAATGGTCATTGGCTTCCCCTATTAACATAAGTTTTAAATATATCTATTTATTTGCATTTTATATAAAGACATACTAGTTTATTATAAACTTACTAACCATTGTCAACAACATTTAGATATTGTAGCATTTCCTGCTCATAATCTTCTCTTGCTCCTAACTGCTCTGAAGATTAAAAAAAACAATGGTATCTTAGGATATCACTCCAATACCAGTGTTGCTTTCAATGACAATAACATAAATATTCAATGGTCATTTCCTTCCCCTATTAACATAAATTTTAAATTTATTTATTTATTTGCATTTAACATGAAGACATACTAGTACTAGTTTATTATAAACTTACTAACCATTGTCAACAGCATTTAAATATTGTAGCATTTGCTGCTCATAATCTTCTCTTGCTCCTAACTCCTCTGAAAATAAAAATAAACAACGGTAGCTTAGGATTCCAATACTATGGTCTTCGATCATATGATAATAACGCAATTAAATATTAGATAGACATTCATATTTAATTTGATTTCATCATAATGTGATCCTGATACAGTGTTCCTAATTTGAAAAAAAGGGCTCTTATTCAAGCTGAATATGTATATGATGATCTAGCTGTAGAACTTGGACGCAGGCGCCTGCGGCTGAGCGGAGGGCTATAGTTCTAGAGCTAATGATGATCTATCTATCTATCTCTGTATCCATCTATCTATCTCTCTCTGTATATATATATATATATATATATATATATATATAT